AGAAAGAGAGAGAGAGAGAGAGAGAGAGAGAGAGAGAGAGACAGAGAGAGAGAGAGAGAGAGAGAGAGAGAGATGCATATTAGGGAAGGGTGGGATCTATTACATACTTGTAGTTTTAGAGCGTAAGCCTTCCCAAGAAGGGGGTGTTAATGGCAATATCATATTACAGATACATTTACCGATACTTTGATCTCACGGGTGAATCTATCCAAGATGCTCTTCATTTCAGGTTGACTTGCCTTCAGAGGACTCAAAGTCAGGTACTGCAGGAAAAAATTCACGCGCTTTAATCACGATTCTTTAACAAATAATCAAAAAGAGAGAGCAACAACTATGATTGCTTCAAGAGTTCCTTGGAAGAGGTCATGATTTCCAGGGCCTCTAGATAAGGGGCTTAATAGAGCATATAGGAGGGCTCATTGAAAACTCATTGATGAGGACTTGAGTGCAGGCCATTACTTTTCTTCTGAGGATAGTTCACCTTTTATGAACCTCTTTACAGTATGCATTTCTCTGTTTAGCAAACCTACAAGAATATTAAAACAGAAACTAAAAGAGCCTTTCAAAAAAAAGAATGCTTTTTACTTAAATGCTACTAGCTGAACCCCAATAGAAAAAAAGTACTCCAGTCTTTGTTTGGGCCAAGCAGGGAAGAGGGTAGGGCTTTTGAAGTAGTTATGGTGGCTCTATTCAACCTTAGAGAATTAAGTACCAGTAAACCAGGGTTCAACATCTCTGCTAGCCTGGTAGCCCGAGGCTAGTAAAAATTGGGTTAGGCTGGTAAAAAACCATGTTTACTAGCCCGCTGGCTAGTAGAAAAATTGAAAGAAATTATACATAATTAGTTTACTTGAAGTTCACATTTGATTAAAAAAACAAGAAAGTTTAAATTGTAATGATAATACCAATAAAGAAGGCATAACCCTTTCATCTTCTGGCATCCTTTTTTGTCTTGCGTGTCGATCATAAACATCGCTACAACCTAGACTACACTTAATGGTCAATATCTTCCCCAGTCTTCTCCCTACCAACACTTCGCAGTTGAAGTGATTGTACCATTCTTCATGATTTTAGAAGACCAATAAGGTAAGAGGAAGATTTGCATGTTTGGGGTGGAAGTAGACATCAAGGGAAATTGATCCGGGCTACCAAGTTGTGTAACTGGCCAGCAAATTTTAGAAATCACGAACCCGGTGGCTAGTAATGCAGGTAGACAGGTGTTGAACCCTGGTAAACTGTCGCAAAAACTATTAAAAGAACCAATTGATGCAAGGTTATTGCAATTTTCTTGCCTGCCGTTAAGAAACAGTAGTCCAGCTCCCCAGTCACTTTAGGGTGCAGAATCATGTATCAGCTAAAAAAGCAATGGGCTAATGAGTTCAACAATATAAAACTTTACCTTCCACTGAATTCTCTCACAGCTGTGAATATCATGAACTACAGGAAGGCTAAGTTTTATTTTCTTTACAGTATGAAGATCTACAATGAAAAAAAAAAAGTTTTCAACACTCCTTAATCTAGAGATATCTGTTTGTACAACATCTCCTCACAGATGACCTCCCCTCCCCTCCCCTCCCCCCTTGAGAGATCACTCAAGAGAAAATTTTTTTTAGCTGAGAGGACTTCTAAGATTGGCTTCTCCACAAATCAAGGGTTGATTTGTACAGAACCCAGACAATGATTACAAGGATTTCCGCTTAATATAGAAGTTGTTGGAAGGTTCTAATGGAGTACTAGAAAAAAAGTATTCCATATCATGTAGCTATACGCAGTCAAATGTACAAGAGGCTACATACAATTGTTATATGACCTTGTGAAGTCATCAAGTAAATCCAAGAGACTCTGTTAGAGAGAAATCAAATGTTTCTAAGTGTTCAGTATTCCTGGAAATAGGAGAGAAAGTTAAGTGATGGTTTCAACACATTATGTGTGATGAGAATGTGACACTAAATATTCAACAAATGTAACAGTAATTTCATTTTTTAAATAATGACTTGATAATAGTTTCTTTGCAAGAAACTTCCTGAATCTGAACTCAGTCTGCTATTTAATACTTAGCAACTGATTGCCAAAAAAATTTTCAAGCTGCACTGCAGGCAGTCATGTCAAATATTTAGCTGCTTATAGATTTTATCTTGATATCCCATATGACTCCATGGTCAGCCACCCAGTAAGTATTTTGCTCTGTCTTATAATCTCATGATTAAATATTAAATAAATGAATTAAGGTTCTTGGTTAAGACACAGGAGTCAACAGAAAGGGAAAATAAGTGCCAGAAGTAACTCATAGGAGCCATTCCAGTGCAATAGGGAATTTAAAAGTGCAAGAAAAGAAAAACTCTTTGAAATTCTGAAAAAAGAGGATGATTATATAAAATTGCTGATATTAGAGTACAATTCTCAAAATTATAACTGTGTGTACTTCCAGTAAAAACAACAGTGCCCTCTTGTTTCATTCTGTCCATAAGCCACATGGCAAACTAGATTTCTTTTAGAATTGTTCATCTATATATTATAATTATACATATAAATATTCATTTTCTATAGAATTCTTTTCTTTTTTTTTAATTTTCCTCTCTTGTACCTGCCTCGAATAGCCCTAGGTACTTGCGGGCCCAAGCATTGTAATTTTCCATATTAAGCTTAAATAAAATTTGTTGTCGTTGTTGTTGTTGTTGTTGTTGTTGTTAATAGGAAAAACAACTTGACACAAGTAAAGGTATAATTTCTTCAAACCTACTTTAAATTTCAAAGGCTTAAACATAAGGTCATCTCTTCTGCTTAATCCCAATGTCCCAAATTTGCCATTGTTGTGTACTCCAAGCACCACATGCCTAAAGGTGAGTCACAATCACTCAAAGATTTTTTAAACAACAATACAAAGAATAAAGCATCCTGACTGGTCAAAACCTATTGTTTATTGCACCATTAAACCCATATTAATTGGAATTTCATCATGTTTTGTTTTAAGTTAATATTTTATAAATAAAGCAATGAATACAATTTCTATTGGTTTATTGTAATAACCCACTTGAGACGTTGGGAGAACACAAGAAAATTTTTTTTAATCACTTGCCTTTCGGCTCGTGTGGTTATGCCAGGAAAATGATAAAAAGTGCAATCTATTGCTTAAATAAACAACTCGATTACACCTTTGGAAACAATAGAAAAGAAACTTTTATCAGTCCCAATCTGAAAAGGACATAATGATTATGGATTTTCAGAAATAAAAGCTCAGGGATGATAGGGAAATTGTTGTTTCATTCAAATCCTTTCAGAACTTCAGTCACACTCCAGTGATCCTTCAATGGACCTTTACTTGCTTACAAGTTGACATGATGATTCTCACCTGTAGTAGCGTCCATTGAACTGTGTTTTAAAACTAATAGTAAAGCGCTGCATCTCAGTCATACCACATGTAAAGTACCTTTGATTTTTGTTAAGTCTCTAATATTTGATTCCTTGGTTAATAGTTAACAGTATACGTACTGCAACTATCTCAATGTAAAACTAAAACATCGATCACTGCTTATTTGGACAGAGTTATCATTTGGATTAGTGAAGCAGCAGAATAGTTAAGTGGATATTCTCCAAGTAAGAAGAAAAAATAAAGACCAGGCCATCAAAATTGAATCAAAGAATTCTGAATTCTGCATGGTGGATGGGGAATTCTCTCCCATGCATTGCCCAATGAACACTCTGCAATGGAAAGCTTACATGTACAAGATTAAAGGATACAATCCTACAATAACAGCCTCAAGGCATTTGATTGGTAAGGACTCTTTTATAATTTCCCTTGCTGTATCCATCAACCTGTGAAGAGACAAAAAGTTTTGTTAACCATGTAGATTAACTTCACATAATTATATGATGCATGCTGAGCAGGTGCACTTTGAGTGGCAATTTCTTTGCTTCATGCTATTCAATTGCAAGTCTTAATTTACTCTGACATAGCACTTAAAACCATATTTCAATTTCAGTAATTCAGTTATTTTCCTTATTACCTCAATACACTATGAAACAGGCATGTCACAAGAATCTACAGTTATCTTTTCAGACAATTGGCTGTCACACCTTGGGAATTTAAAAGAGCTGAAAGGCATGTGGACTTAAGAGGAATTTAACCACACTATTTCACTATTTCCGTGCCATTTTTGGGTCTTATTTTCATTTAAGCCATTTGGGATCAGATTATCCAAAAGGGACACAGTCAGTGGTAAAAGTACCCTGTCAATGGTCTCCACTTCTTAATCTCAAAAAACTGAGTCCCTGTATGATTATATCTGCATCAGCTATGTTAAAGAATTTAATAATTAGTCTAGACAAGCTACAGATGAAAATTTTGCTGCATTGCCTTAAAAGAAGCTCATTAACATCTGTAGTCAATATACTATATAATTTATGCATAATTTGTAAATATATGTCTGTGCTCTGGTTATAGCAGAGGACCTCAAAGTGACCACTTGGCTAACAGACAGAAAGCTTTTGTCATCGAATGGAAGTAGCTCGCCAAACAAAGTCATCATCTTTTTCAAACTTAGAATCATATTTCAATACATCTATCTGTATTAAACATTACAATCCAACATACAGGGTCTTGAGCCTCAGTGGAACACAAGCAAGAATTTAAGCCATTTCGGGGACTATGGGTTGCAGACAAAGCAGTTGGGGAAGAAACACAGAAAGAACTCAAACCAAACATTATACAGGAGGTAAGTTTCTAAAGAAACTGTGGTGATGCATCTGTGGGAGTAACAAGGTAATTTTGGTTTGATATAATGTCAGTTGATCACTGTAAAGAGTTTCAAAGCTGACATTTCAAGAGTTAGCCCTGCGTCAGAGTGGAGAGCCAACCTGTAGACTGCAGAGCCCTTCGCTCTGATGAAGGGCTAATGCTTGAAATGTCTCTTGAAACTCTTTACAGTGGCTAATTTACATTATTAAAAACAAGATCATTGGATAATGCAATTCAAGACTTTTTATTGGCTGAGCCATTATGGTATATCAGCCAATATACCATAATCTACAAATATGGCAAGCATATATGTCAGCTTAAAATTAAAAGGGAGCTTAAAACTTAATAAAATTTAATAACTTAATTTAACGTTTTCGATAAAGCAATTATTCCACTCACACTTGTTGGATATGAGATGATTATAGCCAACGGGGCGCTAGCCAACGAGGCTATCTATCATCTCATATCCAACGCACGCTCCTGGAATAATTGTTAATTATCACCTCAGTTGATAAAACCAAAATTACCAAAAGCTAAGACAGTTTGAATGCTGATAGACACAATAACCATAATTTGTTTTTGCTGTGATGTTGTTACAAGGATACTGCAGTTGCTGCAGGTAGTTTTGAATCAATCCAAGCTTCTCTTCCACTGACATGACTGATGTAAACACAGGTACAGCTACATATGGCACCTACAGGTAGTTAACATTGAGATCATATCGATAGGTTATTATGGAGCAGCAAAAGTTAGATATATATTTCTTTGAAAATATTTTTGTCAGTAGAAAACTGACACATAATCACAGCTATAAGAAAAAGTTTTCTGATAAATTTGATTTTGAAATGAGTTGTCTGCCATAGTTTGATAATCGTTGAGTTTTACATCTTATTTATGAAGTTGCCATAATTTATGATTTTTCGCTTTCATTGAGGGCTCAAATACGGATTAAATTGGCGCTTTACCTTTGCTAAGTGTTCACTTTTACGCACACTGTGCACAACTTGTGCTCCATTTGGATGTGTTTTCTCCACATGACGCCACATTCTTTCCCAAGTTTTCTTATTAATAGGAAAACCATCTTTGTTCACATAGAACAATATTCCACTCTCGTCTTCACTCGGTACATCTTTGTAGTCCTCGTCTCCTTGACTGTGACATGGATTTAATTTATTGGCCATGACACCAATAGAAGCTCGTGCTTTTACATTCTGATGTGCTTTTCCTTTTCTACTTCTTCTTTAGTAGCTTCATAACTAAAGAGGAAACCTTTGGAAATAGCGAAATAATGCAAGCTCAGTACGTTGCCATGCGACTTGGCCTGGTAGGTACTTCATGTAACAAAGCAGTAACTTTTGTCTGATGCTTTATGTTCTTTGTGTCCAGTTTCCTTTCAGACGCGCGGCCGGCCACAATTACTCCAGGAAGCTTTTTTTCGATCGTTTTTTTCGAAACTCTGAATACTCAACGGGACGGTCCCGATGATCAGTGCGCGTACTTTGTGATCCTGGTGGACTCCCAGTGTTAAGGATACTCAAACGATTCATTCAGCCTGAGTGGAATTTGATTTGTTTGTTACGAATTACTTTAGTTACGGATGTGGTTACGTTGTTGTCTATTCTCGATTGGTTTGTAATGAGATATTTTAGCGTCCCCACGCGCGTATAAAAGCCTCGCTTAGCGTCCCTTTAGCCAGTGTATGATTGTATTTGGCCTTGTCCATTGTATCTGTTTCGACTCGCCGTTTTTGGTTCTTACCCTTTGGCACAAGTGGGTCCGATATGTGAGTAGTTTTGCTAGTTTCCTCCTTTGATTAGTTTTCTTGTTTTGGGTGGAAACACGCTAACGTACAGAGTCGTACAATAATACAATTTATTGTTTTCAATCTAAAGGGGGCGAATGAAAGAATGAGACGCTAAGCTAGGAACGCCCACTTTGTTAATCTCGAGTTATTTTGATGTAGCTTATTATGATTTTCGAGTATTCCTGTTGATTGTTGTTAATTTTGATCGCGTTATCGACGGAGGCAGGTTAATTGCTCTAAGCGTTTTTGTTCACGAGTTACGCAACGTTTTAAGTAAATTGCATTGTTATTTCAGTTTACGATCGTGATCGTGATTGCCTATCGTGGTTCGCTAATCGTTTATCATCATTAAATCACCGTTAACGGTCAACCTTGGTTTTCCGTGGTTATTGGTACTTGAAGCACACGACCTGTAAGATAGTCCCGTAGCATTAACACGCTTTAGCGACACCCTTCGACTTCGATCTCGTTTGTCGCAAGCGTCACAGTAAAATATCGTCACTTCATTTCGCCAATTGGTTATGAACCGTAATTGATCATCGCTTCAATCTTTGGTCTTCTTTGGTACTTGTCTCGAGGCCAAAAAATGAGTGTCGTCAGTGCGCCGGCATCTGTTCGTAACAAAACACCATCAGAACTGGACTTTGAGGCGACGCCTAAAACAGTCAAGCCATCCCAGGGTGTGGCGGGCGTCGAGCCTTCCCCACTCGAAACCTCGAAAACTATCGGACGAAGACGAATAATGAGCGAAAAGGGTTTAGCTTATCAATTGGAAACAAAACTTGCAAATCGGAACGCTGCCTTTAGGAAATTAATGCAACAGATTGACACGATTAACTTGCTACGTGACGCACCACAATCAACAATAGAACAATGAGGAAGGGAGATTTAAATTAGACCATTTGAAAGATCAGTTAAACGATGCATTCAGGGAGCACGACGATTTATTGCAATTAGAGAAGGAAAAGGAGGATTCGTATCGGTGGTTCGACATTCAGGATCGTGAGTACAACGAATGCAGAATAAGACTTTGTGAACGAATACAAGCACTAGAGAGAAAATCCAGCCGCGCTAGTTCAGGCCTCCGAAAGTGGAACCCGCGTTCACACCACAATTTCAAGAGAATAGTGTAAATAAAACTCTTCAAGACATCATTAGTTTGCAAGCGAAGCAGGCAGAGTTGAGCTCGTTAGTCATCAATCAGCAGAAGATTAGCAACCTTCCAGTGAAAGAGCCACCAATCTTCTCTGGAGATTACTTTGAGTATCCAGCCTTTGTCACCGCATTCGACTCCATTATTTGTAGTAATGTGCCATCCAATAAAGATCGATTGTACTTCCTAGAGAAGTATACCACAGGCAAGGCTAACCAAGTAGTGAAAGGTTTCTTGGCCATGAACTCTGAAAGAGCTTATGAAAGGGCTCGAAATATGCTAGATCATCGCTTTGGTAATCCCGTTCATGTAGCTGAGGCCTACAAGACTAGCCTAAGAAGATGGCCGAAGATTGATGACGGAGATAGCCGTAGCCTTCAGAATTTTTCGGACTTTCTCGTACGATGCGAAGAAGCAATGAAAGCAATGCAGTCAATGGGGGACCTCGACTCAACAGAAAATCTCCGCCTAGTAAGCAGTAAGCTTCCTTCGTATGCTGCTGTAAAATGGTGTCGGCATGCCCACGAGACACAAACAAAGTATAAGAAGATAGTTAAATTTGGCGCCCTCGTTAATTTCGTCAGAGAAGAAGCAGAGCTTGCAAATGACCCCGTCTCCTCGCCAGATTCACTCAAGGCAGAACGGAAGAAGACTGGTACCCAGCCGAAGTGGGGATGGAGGAACAAATCGAAGAAGAATGATGATAGCAGTTGGAGCTCCAATTCTTTCGCGACATCAAGCACTCCGCCTGTTTCGTCACCAAAGCAACAAGCAGATCAAAGCGACCAGACGTGTCCTCTTTGCATCGGCCGCCACGCCCTCGTCAAGTGTGGTAAATTTCTGAAGAAACCAGTTGACGAGCGCAGTGAATTCATTCGCACTAAAGGTCTTTGTTATGGCTGTTTAAAGTCAGGCCACGTTACCTCTGGTTGTCGTAACAGATCTAATTGCAAAGAATGCGGAAGACGCCACCACACGTTATTGCACGGCGCAAAACCGAAATTCGCAGCTCATAGCCAGCCAGTTGACCCTAAGCCGCAAGAAACCTCCTGAGTAACTGTCGGCCAGGAGTCATCAGTTGCTGAATCTGCGAGCTCAAACCTGATCAGTGGTAGCGCATAGCTTAGCGGCAGGATCCACAAACGTGATCACTAACTGTCGCATTATCCAGGTCATCTTGTTTCACAAGAACAATCCAGAGAAAACAGCCAAGGTCTACGCACTATTGGACGATGCAAGTGACACTACCTTCGTGACCACCCAAGTGCAGCATAAGCTGGGCATCAATGGTGTTCAAACTAGTTTGGATTTAAGTACCATGTTTGGCCGTCAAAGGATAGCAGTTAAAAGAATTGATGGCTTGGTTGTTGAGCGTCTTGACAAACGCACCGAGGTTGAGTTACCCAAGACTTATGCAAGGCAAACTATTCCTTCTCGTCGAGATCAAATTCTAAGACCAGAGACCGTTACCAGCTGGCCACACCTTAAAAGGATTGAAGGCAAAATTCCACCGTATGATGACGATGTAGCTATTGGCTTGTTAATCGCCTGCAACTGTCCCAGGGCGATCAAACCAGTGGAAGTAATACGTGGTAAAGGCGAAGAACCTTATGCCGTTCAAACCTTGCTGGGCTGGAGTATCGTGGGACCAGTCGCCGCCTCGGACACCTCCAAAGATGGCCACGCCCTGGACTCTACTTGTCACCGTGTCATGACGAGAGAGGTTATTTCTGGACCAAGTGACAGCGCCAACCAATTGAGTTTCGTTTTCCATGGTAAAACAAAGGAGGTTATCAACTCATTAGCACTCAACCAAATGTTCGAGCTCGATTTCGTGGAAGACAAAACCAGATCAAAGCAAAGTCTCTCCCAAGAAGACAGAAAATTCATTGAGATAGCAGAGAAAGGAATTAAACATCTCAAAGATGGTCATTACGAGCTCCCACTGCCCTTGAAGAATGCCACCATTGAGCTTCCAAACAACAAGACAGCAGCACTTCGTAGACTTAGTCAGCTCAAAAGAAGGTTTGAGGATCAGGGCGGCCAGAAATACTCCGCAGACTATATGGAGTTTCTGAAGAAACTGATAAAGAATGGATACGCAGAGAAGGTACCAAAGATGTCACAGTCGGAGAATACACCCCGTGTTCAAATTAAGGAGAAGCGAAACGTTTGGTACATCCCTCACCACGGAGTCTACCACCCAAAGAAGCCGAACAAGATACGGGTAGTGTTCGACTGTGCGGCTGAATTCGAAAGTGAGTAACTAAACAAGCACCTACTTCAAGGCCCCGATCTGACGAACAATATGACCGGCGTCCTTTGCAGGTTTCGGCAGAAGCCGATCGCTTTCATGTGTGACATAGAGGCCATGTTTCACCAAGTGAAAGTGGACGAAGAATACCGGGATTTGTTACGTTTTCTCTGGTGGGAGAATGGCGACCTCACGAAATCACCGAGGGAATACAGAATGACTGTACATTTGTTTGGAGCCAACTCGTCACCAGGCTGCGCAAATTTTACACTGAAGTCTACGGCGAACGACTTTGAGAATGAATTTGGAGCAAGCGCCGCAGATTTCCTTCGCAACGACTTTTACGTTGACGACGGCTTGAAGTCTGTTCCATTGGTCGACGACGCAGTAAAGCTGATTGTAAATGTGAAGAAGATGTGTAGCAGAGGAGGGTTCCGACTTCATAAGTTTGTATCAAATGGCAAAGAAGTCATCCGAAGAATCCCAGAGCAAGATAGAGCAGATGGCGTGAAGGAGCTCGATTTGGACCTTGATTCGCTTCCTTTAGAGCGTGCCCTTGGAGTCCACTGGTGTGTCGAGTCTGACTGCTTCCAGTTTACCATTGTACTACCAGACAAACCATGCACCAGACGAGGAATACTTTCTACTGTGAGCTCAATTTTCGATACACTTGGATTCGTCGCTCCGCTCTTGTTAGATGGAAAGTCAATTCTTCAAGAGTTATGTCGCCATGAAATAGGCTGGGATGATCCCGTTCCAGACAACGTGAAAGCCAAGTGGGAAAAGTGGAGAGCAGACTTGTTAAAAATTCAACGCATCTCAATTCCGAGATGTTACAAGCCCAACAGCTTTGGTCGTGTAATGAACGCACAACTCCATCATTTCTCGGACGCCAGCGTTAAGGGTTACAGTCATAGCAGTTACTTGCGACTTGTTGATGAAACCCAGACAGTTCATTGTTCCTTCGTCATGGCCACGTCCAGAGTAGCACCATTGAAGCCTGTCACCATACCACGCCTGGAGCTCACCGCCGCTGTATGCTCAGTAAGGATCAGCCAGCAACTGCGACAGGAGCTGGAGCTTACCATCGACCAAGAATACTTCTGGACAGATAGTAGAGTGGTTCTTGGATACATAGCAAATGAGAGTAGGCGTTTTCACGTGTTCGTTGCCAATAGAGTTCAAGAGATTCAGGAGAACACATGTATTGATCAATGGAAGTATATCGAATCCAAACAGAATCCTGCCGACGAAGCGCCCTGTGGTCTAAAAACACAAGAGCTTTTAAATTCCCGTTGGCTCAGTACACCAGCATTTCTTTGGAAGAATGAAGCTCAGTGGCAAACCATTAGTGAAGAAGATCACCAACTCCAAGAAAGCGACCCCGAGGTCAAAAGGACTGTAGCCATGGCAACTACAACTTCCGCGCAAGGGACCCTAATACCTTCAGAGAAGCCGAGCCTTGTAGAAAGAGTCGAGTATTTCTCTGACTGGTATCGAGCAAGGAGAGCAGTTGCCCTGTGCCAAAGTTACGTCCGAATTCTGAGAGATCTCGTGCTTAAGAATCACAAGAAACAGTGCATACACGAGAAAAAAACAAGTACTAGACGTCAGTAATTTGAAGAACGCAGAGTATGCCATTATTCGAGATGTTCAGATTAAACCCTTTAAAGAAGAAATAGTGGTTTTACAGAAGATGAAGCAGGAAAACACCACCCCAGACAGTAGAGTTTTCGCCCAGCAGAGAAGTTAAACATGAATATGAGCAGCTCGCTCTACAAACTTGACCCGTTTTTAGATGTCGACGGAATTCTACGTGTCGGTGGACGCCTCAGACATGCGAGCTTGAAAGGAGACGTAAAATTTCCCATCATCCTGCCACGAAACAGCCACGTCACCAAGTTGATTATCAGGCATTTCCATGCGCGTACACATCATCAAGGTAAAGGAATGATCTTGAACGAAGTACGATCGAATGGGTTCTGGGTGCTTAGCGGTTCGTCAGTAGTCGCCAACATGATTTCATCCTGTGTCACGTGCCAAAAACTGCGCGGAACAGTACAAGAGCAAAAGATGTCAGATTTGCCGGAAGATCGCCTCGAGTCTTCTCCGCCCTTTACATACTGCGCCATGGATTATTTTGGGCCGTTCGTCATTAAACAAGCCAGGAAGGAGTTAAAGCGATATGGAGTGCTCTTTACCTGCATGGCGTCAAGAGTTGTCCATATCGAAACTGCCCACTCCCTTGAAACCGACTCCTTCATAAACGCTTTGAGAAGATTCATCAGTCGTCGAGGCCCTATCCGCCAGCTTAGAAGCGATCAGGGAACACACTTCGTAGGAGCTCGTACAGAACTCGCACATTAATTAGCCGAAATGGACCAAGAGAAGATTAAAACAAAGTTACTCCAAGAGCAGTGTGACTGGTTTACTTCCAAGATGAGCGTCCCAGCAGCGCGCCACATGGGAGGCGTTTGTGAGCGCCAAATCAGATCAGTACGTAACGTACTCTCATCATTATTACAAAACAATGGAAGTCAGTTAGACGACGAATCTATGCGAACCCTCATGTGCGAAGCAGAAGCCAAATTCAATAGCCGCCCTTTGACGATTACTCAGCTTACCGATCCAGATTCGACCGGTCCTCTAACCCCTAACCATCTCTTGATAATGAAGTCAAAGCTAGTTGTTGCACCACCCAGTGCCTTTCAGCAAGCAAACGTGTATTGCAGGAAGCGTTGGAGGCGAGTCCAACATTTGGCAAACGAACTCTAGACTCGATGGAGAAAGGAGTTCCTCCTTAGCTTACAGCAGCGACAGAAGTGGACACGTCCTCGAAGAAACTTAACTGTTAATGATGTTGTCATAGTCAAATATGAAGGTCTCCCTCTGAGGCACCTGTGCAAACCAAGGGGTGAGGCTTGCACTCACGCATGCCACTTCTACGTAACGCATGCCAACGCGCCAAAGATGGAATCCCAGGTTCACTAGCCCAAAGGGACCTCCGGAATAGACGCGCAACTCCGGGAAGTCACGGCAGCCGGAGTGGCATACGTGAGAGTAAGTGCCACAGCAGTCTGTGGCACTTTTGCAAACCTAGGGGTGAGGCTTGCACTCACGCATGCCACTTCTACGTAACGCATGCCAACGCGCCCAAAATAAAATCCCAGGTTCACTACACCCAAGGGACCTCGGGAATAGACGCGCAAACCCGGGAAATCACGGGCTCCGGAATGGCATGCGTGACAGAGAGAGCCACCGCGATCCGGGGCACCGGTGCAAATTAAGGGGTGAGGCTTGTACTCACGCTTGCCACTTCTAGGTAACGCATGGCAACGCGTACAAAATGGAATCCCAGGTTCACTAGACCCAACGCACCACGGGAATAGACGCGCAACTCCGGGAAATCACGGGCGCCGGAGTGGCATGCGTGAGAGTGAGACACAAGGGGTGAGCCTTGAACTCACGCATACCACTTTCACGGAACGCATGACAACGCGGCCAAAATGGAATCCCAGGTTCACTAGTCCCAAGGGACTTTGGGAATAGGCGCGCCACTCCGGGAAATAACGGACGCCGGAGTGGCATGCGTGAGAGTGACAGACGGTGCACTCTAAGGCACTTGTGCGACACAATGAGTGAGCCTCGTACTCACGCATGCCACTTCCACGGAACGCATGACAACGCGGCCAAAATGGAATCCCAGCCTCACTAGACCCAAGGGACTTTGGGAATAGGCGCGCAACTCCGGGAAATCACGGACACCGGAGTGGCATGCATGACAGTGAGACACAAGGGGTGAGCCTTGAACTCACGCATGCCACTCCCAAGGAACGCATGACAACGCGGCCAAAATGGAATCCCAGGTTCACTAGTCCCAAGGGACTTTGGGAATAGGCGCGCAACTCCGGGAAATCACGGACGCCGGAGTGGCATGCGTCACAGTGAGACACAAGGGGTGAGCCTTTAAATCACGCGTGCCACTTCCACGGAACGCATGCCAATGCGGCCAAAATGGAATTCCAGGTTCACTAGTCCCAAGGGACTTTGGGAATAGGCGCGCAACTCCGGGAAATCACGGACGCCGAGGTGGCATGCGTGAGAGTGAGACACAAGGGGTGAGCCTTGAACTCACGCATGCCACTTCCACAGAACGCATGACAACGCGGCCACAATGGAATCCCAGGTTCACTAGTCCCAAGGGACTTTCTTTGGGAATAGGCGCGTAAGTCCGGGAAATCACGGACGCCGGAGTGGCATGCGTGAGAGTGACAGCCGGTGCACTCTGAGGCACTTGTGCGACACAAGGGGTGTGCACGCATAAACGGTACGACAACACAAACTTGAACACGCGTACTTGTAATTATGAAATGGACTTTACAATCTTGAGCGAACGTTGTACGGTTTCGAAAACTAAAAGGAAACAAAGGAAATTACAACTATAAATACGAAAAAGGGCTAGACAAACAAGAAACGAAACCAAAAAAAACTTACGTTTGTGTCCTTATAATATAAACGATGACGTTAAACGGGCGTTGAAACGATTCCCCACTTCGATCGAGCACATGTATTTTTTAACTCGCAGCCGGNAATGATAGCTTCAACTTCACATAGTAGAGTTCTAAAGGATTCGTCATCCAGACGGGAGCCATGCTCATGGAGTAGAACAGTGAGTACTTTGCGGGTAGTGCGAATCTGCCGCTCCCAAATGCCGCCCATGTGGCTGCCACTCGGTGGGTTGAAAATCCAATCCGTACCCTCTTGATGCAACCTGCTTCTGATTTGCTCATTGTCCATTTCATAAACTGCTTGCTGCAACTCTGTCTTGGCGCCTACAAAATTTGTTCCGTTGTCGCTCCGGATCTCTCGGATAGGCCCACGACGAGCAATAAATCGCCTCAGAACCTGGATAAATGAATCTGTTTCGAGAGAATTGGCGGTCTCAATATGCACTGCTCTACTTGCTAAACATGTGAAAAGGCATCCGTACCGTTTGAGTTCCTTTCGACCTTCTTTGATCATGTACGGACCAAAGTAATCCACGCCAGTATACGTAAATGGCGGGGCTGGAGTCACTCGGTCTTTAGGCAAGTCAGCCATTTTCTGTTCAGCGATAGGGGCCCGATTACGGCGACAAGTAACACAATTTGCGATTAGGTGACGAACAGCAGCATTGGCACCGGTGACCCAGTACTTCCTCAATTTAGCAAGTGTGCGACCGCGGCCTGCGTGTGCTAGGCGTTCGTGCAGGCGTTTGATAATCAAGTTCGTAACGTGACTCTCGCGAGGTAAGATGATGGGGTGTTTCGTTTCTTCTGGAAGATCGTCAGCGCGGCTAAGGCGGCCACCAACACGAAGGAGGCCTTCATGAATGTAGGGATTCAGTCGAGTTAGGGAACTTGCTTTCTTCAGCACCATTTTCTTTTGCTTTGCTCGACCCCGTTCGTCTCTACCGTCTTTGTCACTGACTTGTCTGAGAGCGTCAAACTCTCTACTGAAGGACTGCGACTGTACAAAGCGAAGGATGGCCATCTCGGCCTCTTCAAACTCTTGAACTGAGAGCGGTGCGCAGCAGTCACCCACTACCTTCGTTTCAGCTTGTAGTGACTTCACGCCCGACCTTGCTTGACCATGGTCTGAATCTATCTCGAGAGAACCCTGGCCTCTAATCTCCTTCCGTTTTCGCAATACAGCCTTGATTCTAAGGAATGTGGCCACTGACAATCTCAGGCGATACCAACTCGGGTGGTTTTCTATTAGCTTGTTAACTGACGTAGCCGTGGCTTCCATTACCATGGTACCGGCGGAAGCAACTTTTCTGACCTCAGGTCGTCATCTGGGACCTCACCAACTGGAAAGGGCTGCTGCGGCCAATCTTTTTCTGATTTCCCTAAGAAGTGTGGACCATTTGACCAGTGCTGCTGTTGCAGAAGTCCAGCGGTGGAAAGTCCTCTTGAGGCATCATCTGCCGGATTGCTACTGGTGTCCACGTATTTCCACTGCATAGGACTAGTGAAGTCCCTGATCAATTGCACACGATTTGCCACGAATATCTGAAACCTCTTCCGCTCGTTTCTTATGTAGCGGAGAACCGTCGTCGAGTCGGTGTGATAGATGATAGACTCAGGCTTAACCTCAAGCTCTTCATACAGCATTTGTCCCACGCGAACAGACACGGTTGCTGCAGTTAATTCTAAGCGTGGGACTGTTACGGTCTTAATAGGTGCAAGACGAGCCTTCCCCATTAAAAAGGAACAATGTATGCGATCCATGTCATCCATTAGACGTAGGTAGGCAACGCATCCATACCCCACCGTGCTTGCATCGGAGAACAAATGGAGCTGTCTGGAGACAACTGCCGGTTTTGGCGCC